GTAAAAAACAAAAAACAAAAAGAAAAAAAACCTGAAAGAGGAATGAGGCTTATCTCTTTCCTACTGAATCTAATAGGAATATAATTTCATACTAGAATATCACATGTACCTTTCACCTAACTGGCAGTACAGAACACAGTGTCCTTTCCCACAGCAGAAGGTTGTTGTACACATGCTTTACGGGTTAGGTTATTTTGAGGGAGAATCTCATTTCAACCCTCGTTGAACACTAGTGTCATTCGGGGTTTCTACTTCCTTATGCTGCTTGCAGCAACTCATATTTCTCCTCAACTTAGGGCTTGTGTACAATATCTGCCTTTGACTTAAGGAGCATTTTGTCATTCTTTCTGAGCACTGCTCCATCTCCTTGGTCACTGTTAATAAAGTAGGTAATAAAATAAGTATTAGGTCATAGAAATGGTGCTGCTTATTTCAGTTAAGGTGAATCATATTCTTTGGTACATAATTATGACTTCCTGTCTACTTCTAGAGAAAGTTGAAGTGTCTGTGTTAGACATATGTCATATAGACTTTGAGAGCTCCAAGGAAGGAGAGTTATTTTTGGCTGGGGACTCAGAAGGTTTAATGGAAGAAGTGGCATTTGACATGAGACTAAAAGGATGGGAACATTTGATGAGGAAGTGATGAGGGAAGGGCACATGGGATGGAGAAAGGAACTAATACATTGGGAACAGGACCAGGGGAGGTGTGTTCAGAAAACAGAATGTGAGTGAACTCTAATATTTCTGAAGCCTGGCTGCATGTTAGAATTACTTGGGGAACAAGTTTTTCTTCAAATGTAGATATTGGGCCCTGCCCCAGACGCTTAAATTGGAATATTTTGTAGACGAGTTCAAACCTTAGTGTTCTTTAAAAACTTCCAAGATTATATATGTATGTATGTAAGGAGCATACAGAGTTGAGAACCCTTGAGCTAATGCATAGAATACAGGAAGTGGAGTCCTTGGAGATGGGCCAGAAGAGTCGGTGTGTTAGGAACAATTCCTCTGTTACATTTTTAAAGCTGTGTGATTTATTACTTTCTCCACTACAGATAGTGCTGTATGATATATATCTTATATGTAAAACATATAACACAAATCTTTAAAATTTTGTTTGAAAGGAAGAAAAGTATGTTATTAAAGTTGTACCATGTGTCAGGCATTGTACTAGGTGGTTTGTTTTGAAAATACTGTAAAACCATTGACATCATGACATCATGAGAGACGTTCTGGGATGTCAAAAATGAACAGTTTTGAGAATTGCTGCTTTGAGGGGGGAAATATATATATATATATATATTTGTTTGTTTAATTCCTTGTACTAGCCAGCCACCAAAAAAAGTCAAAAAAAGACAAAAAGAAATTTTAAAAAGGGGGTTTTGATGAATGAGAATATATTTATAAGGTTAGGGATGGCATGGGTTTTGAAGTCAGTTCAGGCAGGTCCAGCTCTGCTGCTTATTAACTGTTGCAGACAAGGTACACATCATCCTTGAGCCTCGAGTTCTCATCCTTAAACCCTTAAACAGGTTTGCTCCAAGATTTAAGTGAAACACATCTGTAGGACACTTGGCAAAGTGCCTCACCTGGTAGGAATATGATAATCTTTAAAGAGTATATACATTTATTCAATTGATTGAACCTCAGGCCTGAGTTGTTTTTTTTTTCTTAAATATATACAATTTTACTTTATTTTTTTGGTTTTTTTCCATTTATTTATTTATCAGTATATTCATGGTTATAAATCATTCTTTATGCCCCTTATCCAATCCCCCTTCCCCCCTCTAATAATCATAGATTCTCTCCATCTGATAGATTAACTGTTCCTCTGTTGGTTGGTTGCCTAGATGATCTGTCCAGTACTGAGACAGGTGTGATCAAATCCTCCCCTATTATCATAAATTGATGCTTCTTCTATTACTCTGGACTGTGCTTTATGGAGAGAGAAGACCTCCTCTTTTTTGGGGGGGGGTCTCCATTGGTGCCTCTCCTTATGTCAATGAAATTGAGAGTCTGATGTTCCATCTGCACTATGGCTGTGACTGCTGCTATGGAGACTAGCCGCTTTTGCAGTAGCTGCGGCAATTGCGGTGATTATGGAGGGCTACCCATGTGAAATTGGTGTTTTTGGTGTACTCTTTACCTGGCTGTGGCTGGATTCAGCTTCACCCGGCTCCATACCTTAGGCCCCCAGTGGGGCCCGGGGCAGTGGTATCATGCCTAAGTTTATATCAAATTTGGTCCTAATAGGATGTATGTGCAGTGATGAAGATAGGCTGTCTAGCTGGCATAGCAGAGTCATCTCTCCCTGCAATGAATAGGGCCAATTGAAGCTATATACATATATATGTATATATAATATATATCAGGTGCTTTAATTAAATTCAAGATACACAATTTTTTAACTTAAAAAAGTCAGAACCCTCTTTTAGTACTTTTCAGGGACATAGCTTTGAACCCAAGCAGCAGATGGAAAATATATTTATCTATGCTTTCTTTAGCTCTGCCACCCATAAATTTCCTCCTGATTCTTGGTTTTCTGTATCTATGAAGATATTACTAAGTTTTGTTATACCTCTCAGGTAAATGTCAAGCTACTCTGAAGGTTCATCTTACACCAGATGACCTAAGAAATATCTAGTCTCAGTATATTCTCCAATGTAAAATAATAAGTCTTTTTTTATTAAGTAAAACTAGAGAATGTTTCCAACTTGAACAGAGATAAGGGGAGGAGTTAGAATATGGATCTTTAAGGGTACCAGGAAGACCTTCACATCATAATCTGTTTTTAAGCGTGTTTACCCTGTTATCTGAGGCAGTTATTAATTGACAAGATTAAGTAGTAGCATGTTCTTTTAGATTACCAAATTCCCTTGATTCAAATTCACTGACATTTTCTGAAATAGCATCTGAAAATTCAATTAAATTCATATATGTGTGCTAGTAGGAATATGTTTTAACCTCCTGGGCAACCAGGAAAACAGTTTATCATGATTTATGGGATGTTGCTGAAATGAAATAGCCTTTATTTTCACAACTTGAGACATGAAGTACATCTGTTTTTATCAAGTTGTTTTCTTGTTTTCTTGTTTGGTTGCTGAACAGTATGGGAATACAAACCCCTTCTGTTTTTATTAAAATTAAGAATTCAGCTTGGTAATACTGAGTTTAAAAAATTGAGACCTCCTCCAAGAACTGGGGGTAAATAAAGTCATGTGAGATGGTGCCACGTAGTGGAAAAAATAGTGTAAGCCTGCTCCTTTTCCCCTTTGTGGAATAGTATAGCAGCAGCTTTAAGAAACAGTGAAAATCAACCGGAAAAAAATGCTTTGTATTTTTTTAATTAATTGATCACCACAGATGGAAAAATAAGAAAGAAATTAGAAATCTTATTTTATCTGCTATACAGAAAACACAGGGAATTTCTTATTGCATTTAGTTTCAAAATGTAATAATTCCTGAATAACAAGATCTGTATTCACTACATATCAGGGTATTTCACAAACATTTGTCCATTTGATTGTATCTTCACTGAATGCCAAGGTTTTTAATTAGCTAGCTTGATTTTATGAGAGGAAAATAAATGGTCTTGTATAGAGTAGCTTAGAAAAAATTAGTTTCTGAAATTAAGTATGCTAATTATAAAATGGAAATCAAAAGACCTGAGTCTTAACTGACTGTTATTCAACTTTAATTAGGTAATTCGTTTCTGACCTACCTTATTTTGGTCCCTGTTTGAGTTATTTTACAAGTCAGATAATTTTTCTGTTCCTCAGTTTCTTCATTTGCAAAATGAAGACATGTTAATGCTCAAAAAAGTTTTATTGGATGAATGATTATGTGTCCAGTGTACTGGTAGATACTAGAAACATAATGACAAATAAAACACAGTTCCTGATATCAGAGGATATAGTTTTTAGAGGAAATACATAAAGAAATAATTTTACTTTGAGGAAATAAGAATGTTGATATACCCTAATACATAGAAATATCAAGGAATAATAGCCAACTCAGCCCCAGAAGCAGTGGAGTTCCAGTCAAGGAATGCTGCCTGGAAGAGGCCAAACCCTTCAATTAAAGCTTTAAAGATGGGTGAGAATCAATAAGCAAGGGAGGAGGGTGGAGACTGAGAGAAGGCACTCCAAGGCAAGATTACCAATATGAACATGTAAGGTAGTATTATGGGTGGGGCATTTGACAAAACCAGGGGTCTTTGGGACTCTTAATCCTACTAGCTGTACAGAGTAGGATTCCCAAAGACTCTGATCTTACTAAGTGGGGAGCCCCAGAAGTGTCTCAGAGGCTTTCTGGCAAACTTAGCTTTCCTTTTGCTGGTTAACAACTGGCCTTTTAGTTCCATCCTTCCAGTGAGTGAGTGCATTGCTTTGGTTTAATATCAGGTTGGCATGGACCTCTTCAGTGGAGTACAATTATACTATTTTTATCAAATAGATTATGAAGAATACCATATGGAGTCATTAAATAGGAAACCAACTAAGCAGTTAATGCTACCAAGTCACCTTCTAATCCAGTGGTATTGTGAATGAAACTCTGGCTTCCAGAAATAAAATTCCAAAATCTATTATGGTTCTATCCATGTCTTAATAATCAACATCTGCTTTGTATTTTGAAGTTTTGTTTTTGCATTGGTGGTGGTGGTAAGTATGTGTTGTTTGGTTTGGTGGCTGATAGTCAAAACAAAACAAAAAATAAGACTATCACTAATACAAAATAACTACATTTTAAACCAAATATTTGATTTGCAAGAAAATAGATGGTTTATTTTTATATTTATTTTAATTGTTTATCTGTTTCTGGATTTAAAAGAACCAGTTTTCCTTTAAACTTTATCTTTTTGGAGGGGGGCGGACAGCTGGCCAGTCCAGGGATCCAAACCCTTGACCTTGGTGTTACCAGCTCCACACTCTAACCTTTAAACTTTACATGATCTATAAAAAACTTGATGAAGTCCTTAAATGAATACTTTTGTCTTCACAGTTACAGGCTAGTTCCAAATGTTTATTTTCCTGAGCAAATTCATGATGTTGTACGCGCCACAAAGTATTTCCTGCAGCCAGAAGTCTTACAGAAGTATATGGTTGACCCAGGCAGAATTGCCATTTCTGGTGACAGTGCTGGTGGGAATTTGGCTGCTGTCCTTGGACAACAGGTAATGCCACTGCTCTGAGATGCTGGTAGTAGGGGTGCATGTTAATGTCCAACAGACCAACACATTCTCCATTACACATGGCAAAGGCATAGTCAGGTGAGCTGGTCACTAGACAAGTTACTTATATGATTGCAGGTGGAGAGCTCTCAGAGATCTTTTTAAAGTAGGAAGACAGTCATCAGAGGAAGTGTCATCTCTGAGTCCTTGTAAAGACTCTGATTACAATCAATGTTAGAGAAGAGCTAACATCCCTTGCTCCTCAGGAATATGCATGGAAATTAAGTATCCCCTGCTCCTTTTCCATGTTTGACTTGCAAAATGGAGTATTTCTGCTTAAATCTCAATAACGAAGAATTTTTCCTTAGAACTTTGAGCCAAATAAAAAAATTGAAAAGTTTCCCACATTTTTTTTAAATACAAAAGAAAAATAAATCAGAAGTCTCAGCCATTTAAAATGTTATGTTACAAGTTAATCTGAGCTTTATCTGGTTGAATTCTTTGAAAACTGTGTCTAGCTCTAAAAGCACTCAAAATTTTTGGCAGCTATGTAAACTCTAAGATAAGCACACATTTTCTTCCTCTTGTGGATTAAAAAATCTGAAGAATAGAATCTCTGTCTTCTCACCTCCAAATTTTTTTGGTATTCTCAAAAAACATCTGTCATTTTATTTGTGATGTACCTTGGTTTCTTTGTCCTTTGCTACAATTAAAAAACTTGATTCTCCTCTTGGCATTGGCAAGATTGCTATTCACGTATCCAAACTTAATCAGAAGAAAGTCCTGGTGCAGTGGGGAGAGCATTATGGGCTTTAACCCCAGACAAAACTATGGTCTATGGAACTATGGTTTCTAAAGTCCAGGTGTGAAGCAAAATTGCATGGCTAAAGTTACCTTGAAAATCATTTAGTTACCTGTGAAACATAGTGACCTAATTAGCTTCCTTTTAGAAGTTACATGACAAATATATAATTTTAGACATTAGAACTACAAAATGGGGCAATATAGTCACACTTCACAGAGGCATGGAGGAACTGAAATCTTTTGAGGTGGGGATTTCATTCACATTCCCATGACAAACTTCACTCTGGGGCATGTGCTCATTAAGTAGATAGAGGGTGCATTGTCAGAACTATTTAAATTCTTAACTGTTTCGGGTAGGATGAAGACTAAATGCTCATCAGAGGGGATAGATGCCCTGATGTCCTACTAAAACACTGGAGTCCTATCATCCATTCATTTAGCTTTTTCCACCCCTCCCCTCTGGAAGTATAAGAGGAGTTGTTTCGTTTTTTTCTCCCTAAGAAGCCATTGCTTTTTTGAGCCTGTAGGGATAAAAAATTAAATAAGGTTCACACATTATCCATCCATAATACCCAGCATGTGTTTAATACCAAAAGACAGATACAAGTAATATGTTAATGGGGGTTTAAAGACCTAAGAGATCATGTACCTTTGAAAAGTTCACTCAAAACTATGAGTTGCAAATATCATACCTTTCTTAGTAAATATCCAACAGCTTAATAGAGTGGCTGTGGTGGTGATAGGAAATTATTTATTTTTTAAACTATATTACTGAATGGCATGTTTGGTAGAAATATAATACTTGTACCTTTGATGGATTCAAAGTAACACATTAAGCTACTTTGTAGGTGGTTTCTGTAAAAGGAACCATGCAAAATGAAATAACGTGTTTGCTTCCTCTTCTCCAGTTTAATCAAGATGCTGACCTAAAAAGTAAGCTCAAACTGCAGGCTTTAATTTATCCAGTTCTTCAAGCTTTAGATTTTAACACACCCTCTTACCAACAAAATGTGAATGCCCCAGTCCTGCCCCGCTATGTCATGGTAAAGTATTGGGTGGACTACTTCAAAGGCAACTATGACTTTGTGCAGGCAATGATAGTTAACAATCACACTTCACTTGATGTGAAAGAGGCTGCTGCCCTCAGGGCCCGTCTAAACTGGACGGCCCTCTTGCCTGCATCCATCACCGAGAACTACAAGCCTGTTGTGCAGACCACGGGCAATGCCAGGATCATCCAGGAGATCCCTCAGTTGCTGGATGCCCGTTCTTCCCCACTCATCGCAGACCAAAAAGTGCTACAGCACCTCCCAAAGACCTATATTCTGACGTGTGAGCATGATGTCCTAAGAGATGATGGGATCATGTATGCCAAGCGTTTGGAGAGTGCAGGTGTGGAGGTGACCCTCGATCACTTTGAGGATGGCTTCCATGGATGCATGATTTTCACCAGCTGGCCCACCAACTTCTCAGTGGGAATCCGGACTAGGAATAGTTACATCAAGTGGCTGGATCAAAACCTTTAAAGGAGTAAAACTTCTAGAAGTCTCAAACCCCTCCTGACCTCCTGCACCTGCTTTGGAAAGACAAGCACTTTTTAGTTGACTAATTTCCCCCAGTTACTTGTTAGATATGGAATGTCTATTTCCTTCAGACTTTATGGTAATTTAATTTTTTTTGAAATGAATTTGACTAACTTGAGTGCAAAAACATCTTAATTTGATTCCCAAAGTGGGCTGGTCTCTCTGTTTTTATTATTTTAGCCAACTACTAATACCCACCAGCTGTAGAAAGCAGGACTAGGAGCTGGAAATCACCTTGGGTCCTGCCTTAATCCAGATGTTCTTTTCAGAAGAAATTCTTCCAGTTGTGGATGATATAATGACCTTTAATGAGTTAAGAAAATGTGGGCTCTTATTCAGCTTGCTAGAGTTTACTTTCAGTTCAGAGCAGTGTTAAATGTGTGCACCATCAGGTCAGTGCTAGGGACATAGTGCCGTCTGTTCTTTGTGGATGGATGGTTTTGTTTCTATGGGAATTTCAGCAAAGGCTTTCTAGCAAGGACAAGTTTCTCAAAGGACTTTCTTCCTCTGGAGTGTCAATTTTATGGGATGGCTATCTATAAGTCCATTTGGGTTATAAGGACACTTGCGAGTTACTTTCTACCATTATTATTAGAAAATATGAGGTTGCATGCACTGGCTATCCGTACATCAGTATGTTTTTGTTGTTTTTTGGTTATTCCATCTCCTTGGGGAGATCCTTTGGGAGTGAATTTATTTAGATTTAGAATAAATTTTCCATTACAGAACAAGTAAAAATAGACAAATGAAACATCCTATTGTTTCATAAAAATACTTCTGATGTAAATTACCAAGAGCAGTGTGTATATATTTGGCATAGTCAGAAAATACATTTAATATAAGTTTAAAATTCTGAAAAAGACCTTTAGCGGGTCAACTTTTTTTACTTAGATGGATTTTAAATGGGGCTATTTTGGTATTATATAATGTATTGCTTATTTTTTAAAGTTATTCAGTGTTAATATATATAGCTAGACTTAGGATTTTTCAGAATAATGTCTGTAATAAATATTAGAAATAATGGTATTTTTTAAAAACCACCTTAGAATTATATCTACATGTAGTTTTATGGAAACAGAAAAAATAGTTATTATTACTCCTCCTATACATTACACCTAAATATTTTGTTGTTTATATGCATATACAAGTTAAAATAATTAGAAACTATGACTGCACTTGGTAAAGTCATCTAAACTTATAGTTCAGTAGCCTAGGCAAGACACACACTGCTCACCTCTGTTCTTTATAGTTAGAGGAACACTAGCCTCTGAGTGAAGGGCATACATTGGCACCTGGTGTCTACATCCGCCATTTTCTCCTTCCAGCCAAGTCTAGAAGTTCTAACAGCCTGAGCTGAACTTCATGTAAAGTCTTCACTGCCAGTGAGAATATCTTTGGCACAGGAAGAAACTCCAGTTCTGATTTGAGTTGAGTTCCTCTGCCCTCCTTCTAGCCACCCTTACTTCTGCCCCAATCCTTGCCACTTTTAGGGATTGTGGATAGCAAGTACAGCTGAGTAATGATAAAATGCACTGTGGAAGGTGGAAACTTTTCACTCCTTTGAAAGACTGGTATTTTCCACTTCTGGAATAAAATAATGAACAATTGCATACATATTTTTCATTTACTGTATGAGCCAGGAACATTTTATGTACAAAGCAGAAGTAAATGCAACAGTGTGTGTTTGTGTGTGTACCTTTGTATGTATAAAAATATCATACAAGCTAACTTGCTAATGTACTTAGGCAAGTCACTTATCATCTCTGGGCCTCTTCTCGCTTTCCTCTAAAATCAGAGAGCTAAACCACTTGATCCTTGAGGTCTCTTTCAGCTGTAAATTACAACCATTTTGTCAGACTGGCAAATTGTATTGGCCTCTTCTATGGCGGTTTTTTGGTAGGTCACAATTCTATACACACAGACACATGCATCATGACAGATTTTTTTTTCAAAAAATAACTGGATTTTAGTTCTTACTCTATCATAGCTATCCTCCTCATATAATATTGTTCTTTTTGACACCATTTGGAGGAACCTACATTTGGTCTTTATTTTGGAATCATCTACCTCTAAGAAAGACAAAACAAAGTGACAATTTTCCCCAGAATTATGAGACAAATCTTAGAGTAATTCCAGATCTCTAAAGGGTTCATGCAGATGAAAAGGGAATTGAAGGAAAAAAGGGATCAGCCACTATTTCTGATAAAATACTTGAGTTTCATTGTTCTTTTAGTTTTTATTCTTATGAAAAATGTTTACACTCTGCAGATTGATCTTTTTAAAAATTATTTTGGCTTTGTTTTATTTTCCATTGCACAAAAACATTGTAATCTTTTTGTAATATTGTTGTCTGTGAAACATGAATATTAATATATGAAGAAAAAACCCTGAAGATACTGCAAAATATAGTGAAGTATAAATTATTATTATTATTATTATTATTATTATTATTATTATTGGTGGCTGGCTGGTACGGTATAAATTAATCTTAATGTTTTATCATTGATTTGTGAAGAATTTAAGACTATTATATAATTATATTGGTAAATATAATATTTTATGCATGACCTTTTAACTTTGACTTTTTGCTTATTTCCCATTGCAAAGGGGAAGGCAGATTTTATGAAGGATTTCAGTAGCATATATGTTTTATAAAATGAAAATCCAATGTGAAGATAAGAAAGTATATATATCTGTTTCAAATCATGTTTGGAAATAAAATGGCTCCATCTGAGAATGTGCCTCTTTCTCCTTCTTGTTTCGTTTCTGGCTCCCATTTGAGACAGTGCTCTTTCTTTTTCTTTCTCTATCCCAGATCCCTAGCCACAATTCTGTCCACCAGAGTACTCCAGCTGTCTTTCAATCACTGAGAAGTGGTTCAGTGGCCCTGTGTCTAAGTACAGTGTGTGTTGCCCTGCCCAAGGGGAACCTGCCTTGGACTGGCTAGAATATTTGTAAAAGCCAGGCAGGCCCTGGGACTATTTTGGACGTGATTTTTAGCCAAAGAAGTATCAATATCACTGAAGGCAAGTCCTCAAATCAACCCTATCATCATCACAAGCAAATCTAATAATTTCAGACGAGTTTATTGTATTTGTTTATATCAATATCATAGAAATTTACAAAACTTTCTAGAGTGAAATGTTTATATTGTTGTAAATAGTCACATACAGGTATGTAAATTAGGTTTTCCTATTAAATTATAGTTACTTTCATCTTCTCCAACACAGCCTCTGGTGTGTGGCTATATTTTGCTAGAAGGATCCACTAACAATTCCAACAATTCTCCATTGTGGCATTTAAGTGTAAACTCTAAATATTTCAATATTGTTTTTCTTGTGATTTTTATTCTTTATTGCCCCCCCCCTATTGCCCCCCCCCTTTTTTTTACATCTTTTTTGTTGTCATTGGCAGCTGGCTGGCATAAGCATCTGAACCCTTGACCTTGGTGTTATAACACATCTCATATTTTATAATGAACCTCCTATTTAAACATATGGAAGATGTTGATATCAGTACCAGATTCCCCAAATCCCAAAGACTGTAAATGTAAATGAAATTTCTAATAGGCATACATGACACCCTGTGTCACTCAGCACAATATTTTGTCATTAGAGAGAGAGGCTGGTGACATCATCTGCACGTCTTCTGTTTGGAAGGCTCCTCCTCCAGATTATCTCATGGCTGCCTCATCGTTGACATTTCCGATTAAATGTCTCTTCGCAGAGAAGTCTACCTTCTCGGCCAGATTACTTGCCTAAGATAGTACCCAGCTCTTCCCGTCACGACCCTCTCTCCAGTGCCAGGCCGTCTCCATCTGATTGCTATGTTCATTGTTGCTGTTTTCCATCTCTCTTCTCTGTCTGAAATCTTATTAATTCTATGCTTGTTTTCTGTTTTCCCCATGCTTAAATATAAGCCCTATGAGGGTGGGGACTTTGTCTTGTTCATTCTTATTTCTTCAGCACTTAGAGCACATAGTGGACTTATAAAAAATGGTTTTGAATAAATAAGTCCTCAGAAAACTTCAATTTATAAGAATTAGGGGATTATTTTCCATTTGTTTCTACTAGAAGTTAAGTTTGTGTCAAATATATCAGCACCGCACTCTCCCGAGTGATTTTTTTTTTTTTTTAAAAGATGACCGGTAAGGGGATCTTAACCCTTGACTTGGTGTTGTCAGCACCACGCTCAGCCAGTGAGCGAACCTGCCATCTGTATATGGGATCCGAACCCAGGGCCTTGGTGTTATCAGCACCGCACTCTCCCGAGTGAGCCACGGGCCGGCCCTATGTCAAATATAAATGGTTACTTAAAACTAAAATCTAAGTATTTCCAAGCAAAATTAAATAATTCAAAGGAATTTAAGCCTACCACTAACTACCAAATTTTACAGCAAAAAAATGTTTTTGAACGAATAAAGATTTGTTTTCTTCCTCCCACAACTCAAGTGTGTTCTGAATTTTTCTCAACAAATATTGAATAAACCATTGCAAAGTTCTACAAAAGGATGATTTGTATAATACATTCCACAAGTGTTCCATGGAAGTCAATTTCAGAGTCGAGATCAGGGCTGGCCTGTTAGTTCACTTGGTTAGAGTGTGGTGCTGTTAACTCCAAGGTCCAGGGTTCAATCCCTGTACCAGCTAACCACAAAAAAAAAAAAAAAAAAGTTTGAGGAATTTCAACCAAACAAAATAATTCTACCACTTGTAGGATGTTGTTTTCCCTTTTATTTTCATTATTATTTATTTTTTTGGTGGCCGGCCCAGTACAGGGATCTGAACCTTGACCTGATTATTATAACACTGACCTCTAACCAACTGAGCTAATCGGTCAGCCAATTTTCATTATTTTTTAATAGAGAGTCAAATGCTATGGTTTTTATTCCAGTTAAATTTATAAAATCAAGAAATAATACTTATTTTGCTTGGTCACAGATTAAAGTTATTTTAAGTATCCTACTTTGATAAATGATTTACTAAGTAACGTAGCCGCTGCTTATTTCATTTCCATCACTCATAGAATGAAGTTCCCTTCCTTCTGGACAATGATAGTACCTAAATTTGGGTCCTTAATTCAATTTATTATCTCATTCAAGTACTTGGTAAAGTATCTCTCCTTTCTCTTTCATCTCTCCATCTCTACTCACTGCTTCCTCTGAGCTCCTGAACAAATCTGGCCTAAACAGAAGAAACTCCTCTTTGGCCTTTTGTCTCCATTTTTTTTTTTTTTCTTCTGTGAATTTTCTATAGTTTAAAAAGTTGGCAAATATCATAATCTTCACAAAACTATTTCATGCAGTTTTCATCAAAAAATGTGTGTATACATATACCAAGGGAGAGTTTAAAATTATATATCCTGCAATATTGTTTTGGTTTTCTATTGCTAAGCATCAAATCATTCTGAAACTCGTATTTAAAACAATAGCCAATTGTTATCTCAGAATTATGAGTTGACTGAGCTTAACTTGGTGGTACATCTGCTAAACACAGTGCTGACTGGGGCTGCAAACATCAGAGAGTTCCACTGGGCTAGAGCGTTCATGAGGGCTCACTATATAGCTGGCAGTTGTGCTGGCTGTTGGCTCAGTGACTTGGTTCTCCTCCACATGGCTATTCCTCCTGAATTGGGGTTCTAACTGCATGGCATTTGGATTCCAAGATAGAGCAACCAGTGTGCAAAACCAGAAAGCTTTGTATCTCCTAAGGTCCAGATTTGGATGTTATTCAGCATCACTTCCACCATATTCAAAGCAATCCACCGGTCAAAGCAAATCACAAAATCAGCCCTGATTCAAGGGAAGGGGAAATAGACACCATTGTTTAATGGAAGAAATGACAAAAATTTATAGCCTCTTTAATGCACCACAATTCTTTCCAGAAGAGACCTTCCATTTTGACTAGTCATTGATGAGAACAAAAACCTCTTTTTACATTTTTTCTTATGTCTGATGAATGGGAGAATTTTCCAAATGTTGCTTCTGGCCCCATACATTTCTAACTTTGTTTTTCCTCCACTTTCCTTAAACTTCTTTTGCTGAGTGCCATAGAATAAGTTCATATAGCAATATGTCTGGCCCTGCACTTCAGCAGAAGTGAGATAGGGGTGTTCCTGGAAGCTATTCCTCTATTGGGTAAACCAGCAATAACTTAACTGAAGCAGCTGCAAATCACATAAATATATCCCACTAAACTTAAGCTAATGTATCCCAGCTCAATTTTTTCTTGATGGGATCCCAAAAATGCCTGCAGCCACTCCAAGCCATCTAACGTGGGGATCATGATGAATAAGTTGGAATGGAAAGAGTCAGTGATACTAACCAGCTGCAGTTAAAAGGTATTTTAACTTTGTGTGTTTTTTAAAAAGCAATAATCTTATGCACCTATTCCAACTCCTTGAAGGGGGCCCATGGAGATGAGGGGCCCTAAGCTCGAGTTTTATGATAAATCTGTCCTTGCACAAGATTCAGATTAATATGTTTGCCCTCCCTGTAGATGCCTCTCCTGGGCCATCTGTAGCACCACCAGTGAGGCAAGTCTCAAACTAAATGCAATACCTTTTCCCCCTGTACAGGCATTGCCTTATATAGTCACTATTTCACTTGATTGTACCACCTTCTTTCCAGTTATCCAAGGTAGAATTATGACAGTTTTCTTTATCTCCTCTGGTCCTCTCTACCTTTCAATCACCAAGTCCAATCAATTTTATTTCCAAAATATTTCCCAAATCCATTTCCTTCTTTCCATCCCTGGACATGCTGCTCTAGTTGCCCAAATAATTGCAATGATTCTCTAACTAGTTTTCTTCTCCCCCTCAATCTTGTATCCCTCAAATTCATCCACTCCACACTGCAAAAGTGATGAATTAAAACTCAAATCTGACCAACTTACTTGTTTGTTTGTTTATCTTGGTGGCTGGCCTATACAGGGGACTTCTAAACTCAAAGTCCCTCAGTCTACTGGCAAGGCTCGGGCCACTTGACATTATATACACAGCTCTCCCTCCTGACATTGCTCCATCCTATCTCTGCAGGAGCATTTCTCCAAGTGGTGTCTGGGGGCCCACAAAATCAAAAC